AGGCATAACTACGTCGATTCCCGGAAAAAAATTTTTTATTGGGAAACTGAGGATTTAAATACGCTGCCTGGTGGTTTAAATTCAAACTAGCGATTGTAGGATAGAATCATGTTTAACACAATGTTAATATCAATAAAATAGCAAAATACAGTGTAATTTTTATTAAAAAAAAAAATAAGCAATACAAATAGTGAATTTCGTAATCATACATTTATAAAAAATTAATATACGTACATCAATATAATTATAAAAATGAAATTTTCTCCACATAAAAATAAAGAATTGATGGTGTAAACTATTTACAAAAAAAAACATCAATAAAAAAATTAATTAAAATAAAAATTATTTAAAAATGTTTTGTTAAAGCTGATGAAGAATTTTCTTCCACCATTATTTTAAGAAATTCTTCATATTCTGCTTCATCTAATTCAGTTAAACCCATGTTTAAACATACTGAAGGATCAGAGTAGCAGCTTCTTTTGGAGTGACGTATTTGCCTTAGAGTGATCTGATAGATTTCTTCATTTTAACTTTATCTTCATCTTTTTTTTTGTTTTTCTTCAACACATTTGTGTTCAAATAAAAGCTTCGCCTCATATTTTTCAAGAGCTGATTTATAAGGTGCATTCCAGGTACATTTCTTATCTGTACACGTAATATCTTTGAAATCTTCAAAGTTATTTCTGTAAATACAGAATAATAGAATCAATAATTTAATAAATATTTAATAATTTTAGAGTTTATTGATTAACAAGAAAGAAAGATAAAGTCATAATTACCGGTTACAAAATAAAAGTACTACCACAATATGTTTGCAAGTACTTCCCAATCCAGCCTTGCAAGAGCATTCCATACCAATTATTTTTCCGTTCTTTGAGAATTGAGCATTTATTTCATGAGGTTAATTTCTTAAACCAGCTGTTTGTAAGCAAAAAGCAAGGATATGATAAACATCACTGTCATCACTATGATTCACTTTCCCACAATTCAATAAATGACCGCAATCAATAATATTTTCTCCATCAATAAAATTCTTACTAGCAGCTGTAGCTGAAGTAAATTTACAAATTTCTTGTAAGTTTACACGCATTTTTAATTAAATTTTGGTCACACGCAATTTTTAATTTAATTTTATATCCTATCTACACGTTTATTTACAAGCATCAGCTATATCCAGAATCTTACAATCGCTAGTTTATTTTTTAACCACCAGACGGCCAAAAATTAAGCCACGCCTCTCCCACGGATCCCAATATGCTTCGGTCTGTTTTGTTTACATCAATAATAAACGAAAAATCGTCTTATATTAAGCCATGCTTACTGCGTTAGCACTTATTTTCTGTCCCGACCGAAAATTTAGTATAGTAAGTGACTTACTAAATTTAGTAAGTACTTACTTCGGCCACACGCCCATTGGCTACATTTCCGTTCGGATCACTCAAATGACCCCAATCTATTTATGTACTGCGAGTTGAACGCCCTAATACCGCGTTCCAACGGGCGAATTAAAAGAACTCAATAAATTTACTATAGCCAATTTTGAGCTATACAACAATATAATTAAATTATCCAACAAAAGATTTCGCTTAATCATCGTGACTAATTGCTTAAGACTATAATGAGATTTTAATATATTAACTCAAAAACTATTATTTAAATGAAAAGAAGAAGTTTTCCGAAAAATCTCGTCGTAGTTCCCCTTCTAAAATGTAACAGTCACTGCGCATGCGTAGTTATGAAGGTCGATGTAAAGATAAACTCACAATCTTTTAAATCTTTTTCTATCAGTCATTTGTAATTTTGCGTTGGCATAAGTAATCTGTAAAAATCAACACGTGTTAAATATAAATAATAATTTTCACACTTGCATTCATATATTTTTACATATAAATTCAATAAAAATGGAATCCGAAGCGGTGGGTATCAATTCAATGAAAATGGAGTCTGAAGATGGTGAGTATCAATTGTGCCCTACGTGCAATAAACCGCTAATAAATGAAGAAAACCTAAAACTACTGCGCATTAAATGGATTAAGTGGGGAGTGTGTGGTCCATTATTCACTGTTGCTGGTGGAATAATTGGAGCTTGTGTGTTACCATTTTTGGGATTTGGAGCTGGTGGTGTAACCGCTGGATCTTTTGCTGCAAGTTGGCAAGGACCTGCTGTAGCGGTGAGTTTGAACTCTTCATTTTTTTATAATATTAAAATTGAGAATGAAAATTAAGTTAGCCGACATCTAAAAATTTTTAGAATTTTTTTTACTGAAAAAATTACTACAAAAAAAATGAAAAAAATTTTCATTTGTAAAAAACTACAAGTGCAATTTGTAAAAATTATATTTAGTTCTAATTTAATAATTAAAAAAAAAATTAAAAACATCGGCTAAATTATTAATACTCAAGTTAGCCGACCTTGTTAATTTTTTAAGTTCTTTTTTAATTACTAAAATAAAACTAAATAATATTTTTAAAAAATTACACTTATAGTTTTTCAAGTTTTTTACAAATAAAATTTTGAAAAAAATTTTTTTGCAATAATTTTTTTAATAAAAAAAATTTTTTTAATTTTTTGATAGCAGCTAACTTAATTTTAATTCTAAATTGAGAGACATCTGATAATTTTTATAAATTTTTCAACTAATAAATAATGATAAAAAAAATTTATTTAAAAAATTCCATCATTAGAGGCTCTAAAAAATTATAAATGCAATTTTTTAAAAATAATTTTCAAGATCTAATTTAATATTCAAAAAAAGTCAAAAAATTATCAAGTGTCTGTTAATTTAAATGTCATCATTTTTTGTAAAAAAAAATTATTTAGCTGTCTTATTGATTTATAATTACAAAATAATTAATTGGATTTTTTACAGGCAGGGTCAGTGTTCGCTATATGCCAGTCATTGGGAGCCACCGGGTTAGGAATTTTATTGTTCGGAGTCATTGGATCGGTAATTGGTGGAGTTGGTGCTCTTGGATTGATCTCTAAAAATCGAGAAAAATTCGACTGGTGCGGTTGTTATGATTATTCCTAATCAATTTCTTGTAATAATAATTCTTAAAAAAATGTTTTTTATAATAAAAATTGATTAATGAGACAAATGTACATCATACTTTCACAAATACCACTTTGTGAGTAATTGTAATAGTGTATAGTATGATATCTTAGCGAACACATCCGAGTGATGGCGGTTGCCGTATCAAAGAATTAATTGATGATCAGAAGGTCGTACACCTCTCTCCTTCCTCCCACTTTTCCAACTTTTATAACCGTAAATGGTGACTAATTGGTAAGTATAAAAACGGATAATCGAGTAAGTCATCCCTGGAACTTTCCGCTATTTACATAAGCTAAAAACGCGCGAAATATTCAACAGAATGGCCGCTAAAGTGTGACGCTATAGTTTATAATTGCGTTTTTTACGAAACTACACTGAAAAAAAATTGAATCAAGTAAAGTAAAGGAATCAAATATTGACCAGGCAGCATAAAAACTTGATTTTAAAAAATCTAATAATTTAATTTTATCTTCAGAACGTAATTATCAATTTTTAATTACACTTAAAAAAAAAAAAATAAGGTTGTCAGAAAGTTGGGAAAATTAGTCATTAGAGCTTAATCGCCCCGTGTTTGGTAAATACATTTATTATCAATTTATAAAAAATTAAATACTTTAAGTATAATCAATAAATAAGTATTTGTCAAAATAATTCAATATCGAATATTAATTATCACCATATACGGACTTTTGCCTTATTAATTTCAGAATAACAATTAATAATCAATTAACGGCAAATATATAACGGCAAATAAAAATTTTTCTTATAGTTTTCTTTTAGGACCAATCAAAAAGGCGTAATTTTAAAATTAAGATTTTTATAATTAGCGAAAATTAGAATTATTCACTATGAATCTTAATTTTGGAATTACATTGAAAATATTGGCTGCATAAAAAAATCATAACAGATATTTTTTGTGAAAAATTAAATTTTCGACAACTTTTGTTCACAAACTTTTTTTCTAAGATCAATATTTTCGCCGTAATATTTAAATTTAAACCATTCATATGGAAAAGACAAAAATCTTGGCCTTAAATTATCACTAATTTTTGTTATAAAAATCATGTTAATAATTGAAATAATACTCTGGTCAATAATTGGTGTTGTAAATTATCTATACCTAATATTAGTATGGCTTTGGTCATTGATTTAAATGTGAGTACTAAAGATAATATTCTATCAGAATACAGAACAGCTAACAAAAATACTGAAATTATTAACATGTCAGTGAATAGATTACCTAATGTCGAAACTATTATAGATTAAAAATAAAATGTATTTACAAGTCTAGTAAGCATAATACAACTGGTCAGTATTAGGAACATAGGCGGTCAATATTTAGTGCGCAATTGTCATAATATTCGGCGGAATCGGCTGTAACATTAGTTATTACAATTTAATACTTATTATTATTACTTTTATAGATAAAAGTATTATAGTTTGTAAGTTAAAATTATGAATAAAACATATCATTCGTTTCAGGTCATACTTTTCCAATAAATATACAAATAATGTATTTATGTTCATTTTATCTAAGCTGGTCAATATTTAAAATCCTTATTTTAAGTAATTTATTCAAATTTTGAATTTTCAATTTTTCCCGCTAAAAATTCAAACTTCCCGCCATCTACCAAAACATTAGCAAACTATTTTCTGCAATAACAATAATAATTATAATACATTTTTTTCTCAGTCGCGTTAGCTACTTAGTAGAAGCATGTAACATTTCAATATTTTTCCATAAAAATTTTTTCAATTTGTAAATTAATTTTCAATAATTTCAATTATGTAAACATAAATCTTAAAATTAACAATTTAAACTATAAATAAATTCAAAAATTAAATTGTAGCAACGCGGCTGCTCAATAAATTATTTAGTATAAACAAATTTAACCTCATCCTTGCGATAGTGCCGCTAATTATTATTAACTTTAATTAAATTATTATTTACAAAATATTTATATAAACATTAACATTTAAATGAAAGTAAAGATGATTTTTGAGTGCATTACGGTCGGTATTCTTTTTCTCGCAACTAAATACCGAGACAATGTTGTCTCAGGTATAAAAAGTTTGTGTAAAAAAAACAAAAGCAAGTCGGATTATTCTGATAAAAATAATAATGTAAACGATAATGGTGATGATAATTACAAATACAGTAATAATGAGGCTCTGGTACCGGCATTGTCATTCAATAATATAATCTTGGCTGATAATCCTCAAAAATGCGATTACGCTGTAGAACGTCTTCGCAGGTTTGTTTTTACTATATTTATTATTATTATTATTATTAATATTGCTATTTTTTTTTTATTATCATTATTCATATTATTATTATTGTAATAATTATTATTACTAGCAACCTTGCAGTTACTATGTGACTGCCGTGATTTGTGAATTATAAATAAATACAATTTTGCTTTATTAAATAATGACTTTTTTCAAATTACATTGTACTTTCTTATATATTGATGTTTTTAAAGATATAAGCTCATCCCGATGTTACACTCATCAAGAGCTTTCATTTGAGTACCCACATGCATTTTTGATATATTTTTCATACATAGATATATATAATATATATAAATATATGAAAAAATGATGTGGGTACT